CCATGTGAGCCTGGGCGCCAGAATCAGGAAGCCATTTAGAATGTCACTAGATGTAAAGGATGAAAAGTCTTGAGGCTGGGGTTCTTGGACAGTGGAGGTGTGAAAAGCAGTGGGCATGTTTGTGGGAGCAGAAGAACGATGAGTTTGATTATTGCGAGATTCAGCGTAGCGGAAACGACAAACAGCAGCGGAATGGTTGAATTTTTTTGCAGATTTGGCATTGGGTAGGATTGGGTTGTTGGGTAAAGTTGGGGTAAGGGCTAAAGAATGAGGTATAAGGCTTATAGGGAGTAGAAGGATGGGTGGGGAATTGGGCTTGGTTTGGGCGATTTTGGATAGTGTTGAAAGGACGGTGTGGGCCATATGAATTGGGGTTGGGATAAAATGAGTGCGGAGTTGAGTTATTAGGAAAGTAGGGAGAGAGATGACCACGACCACGGCCTGAATTGGGTTGTGACTGTTTACCACGAGACCGAGAACTATTGACAGGAAAGTTCACAGTAGTATGGAGTGCAGCTTCTGGTGAAGGCAAAAATGATTGCAAACGTTGCTCATGGAGAAGCAGTTTTGTTCGAAGATCTGTGAATGAGGGAGGAGGGTTGAGATTCTCTATAGTGGTGATGAAGGAAGTATATTTAGATGAGAGACCATTAAGAGCGAGAATAACAAGATCATGATCAGGAATAGTATCCCCAACAGCAGAAAGCTCTTCCGCCATAGTTGATAATGAAGTGAGAAAATCATTGACTGTGAGAGAACCTTTCTTAAAAAATTGTAAATCTTTTGGCGTAGTTGCGATCTACGCGCTGTAAATTGTTGAAGAAAATGATGCTCGAGTTTGATCCAAAGGTCACGAGCAGTAGGACACCCTGATCCCACCGATGCCATTGAAGAAGACAACGAGGCAGTGAGACAACATTTGACAAGGCGATCAAGTTTTTGCCATCGAAGAAATTCTTTTGGAATAGTATAATCAAGTGAAGAGTCTTTTGGTGGTAAAATTGAACCATTGATATAACCATTAAGATCAGTGGTAATTAAAATTCCTTCAACTTGATCTCTTCAAATTAGATAGTTGGAGTTATCAAGAGATACAGTGATAAAATTTGTGATATTGGAGAGAGGAAATGATTGAGTAATAGTGAGTGATTGTAAAATAGTCATTTTAAAACAATGGTGATTAAAGTAAAAGAAAAGAAAAGAAAAAGTAAAATAAAATAACGTGTAGTAGTATGTGAAATAGTGTGTGCAATAGTGATTTTTGGAGGTAATCAGTGGTGGGATAATGTGAAGAAAAAAAAAATTTAGTGCAGGATCGATTTTGCTCTCGATACCATGATGAGAAATAAATTCATGAAAGAAGATGAAATCATAAATTGTATTGTGTGCAGCAGTACATTACATTGCCTCTATTTATAGGCATACATCAACATTAGTTAAGATCTAGATATTATAAAATCTGAAATAATCTAAACAAATAGAATCTAAATAATTCTAACTAATGAGATCTTTGACTAATCTTATCAGTTATACTCCATCCGTCTCAAATGATCGCGTTGTGTTTATTGTACAATAAATATGAGAATAAATATAACATAAATATATATGTAACTGTTACCATCAATTGGTTTGCATGCATAGACATGTTTTTGACCTCATATATCCAATTTGAGCACTTGAAAGTTGAAACTGACGTCATTCAATCCAGACATTGTAATAACAAGCATATTTCAACTAGGAACGAATGTTTCAGATGATCTCTTTTAGCATCTTTTCTTTTCTTTTTTTTCTTTTTTTTGTAAAATTTATTTGGCCGTAACACACAGTATGGCGGTACGCCATCCTAACTAGCTAGACGAGAGATATACATTGTCGGCATTATGAATTCAATGAATTCTTATAGTCTAGGTTATTTATATTTTTTAAAAAAATTATAATTCTGGAGCTGGAGGCATTTTCAAATGACTGAAAAGACTGAGGGGGTCCCTTATTCTACCGACAAATCAAAGAAGTCAAGACGGAAGAAATCAGTAATAATAGCACCTCTATTTAAAACTTTTCCTATTGGTAGGTAGGTATAAATAATTTTTCTATGCATGCTTCCATATTTCATTTCATTTCTTATACTAATCAGTTTTTATTTTCTTAAAAAATACTACTTCCGATCCTTGATATAAGTCATTTTGATTAATCTTAGGTTTAACTTAATACATATTTTTAATTGATAAAAAAAATTTAAAAATATTTCATCAATTAAAAATGCGTAATAAGTGAAACCTAAGACAAAATCAAAATAACTTATATTAAGAACCGGAGGAAGTATATATACAGAGAGACTCCATTCCCACCGTCAATAATTGTCTAGGATGCTTTTCGACAAATTCATTTTTAATCACATCATTAAGGATTCGAAACGATTGGTCAAAAGTGAAAGTGTTTTCTTGTGTGGTATATAATCTGAGAACGTACGACTTTCCGAAGAGAGATTATTCTTCAACTAACTAAAGTTGGCGTAATTATCCCCTTTCAGTCTATCACAATCATTGGTTAATTATAATACTAGTACTAGTACTAAATACTAGCTCGGAGTGATTATTTATCGTTTTGTATAGGCCGGTGGTGAAGCTACATTAAAGGCCATGCGTCCATGAACTACTAATATTCACGACGTTAAAAGTATTTACCGATCAAGGCAGCAAACTAATAGTACGATTGGTAACGCCCCAAATTCTTGAGAACCAACTAGGGTTCTAATCGACTCCATTGACGGAGGCTTTCACGTAGAACCAAGCAATCTGGCCAACCTAATAATGGAAAAAGAAAATAAAAAAGTAATCATGTGCTATCCTTAATAAATTAACCAAAACAACAGTTTGTATTGTAGTTTGTAAATTGTATTATTTTGTATTATTAAAAACATTATAATTCATAAATTGTAATGCCGGATTATTTTTCTTGGACCGATGGAGTAGCAATTATCTTTATTCTTTATGGCAATCTTTTAAACAAGATTATCTTTATTCTTTCTTGCACCGATTAGATTTATTTTTTTTCTCATTTATTGTCCAGGCTGATAAAAATGTACACCAAGATAGCCACCGTCAGATCCAAAGAGACCCTAAAGTTTAGTTCCAACAAAACTTACAAACATTTCAAAGGACCACTTAGTGAAATATCATTATCTCAGTTTTGGGCTGCCCAGCCACAGTTTTAAAAGGTTTAAACTACTTTCCATGAACTTTTAATAAGAAAATATATTTCTAATCATGGCTCATTTGCATAAAAGGACGATGAAGATGTCACTAGTTCAAAATATAACATGTAGTATGCTAAATTATCGAATCAAATTTCCATGCGCAATCTGAATGACACTGTGGACCGAACTTAATAGATTACACTCAATTTTCTACTTGTTCATCACCTTTTAGAATTCGACAAAAAAAAAAAAAGGCGATACCCAAAAATCCTTTAACAAATCTAACAATTGGATTTTCCAACGTCTATTCAATTTTATTTTATTTTTTACTTTTAAATATTTATTGATTTGTTGATATCAATGTAAAAGTCACAAAATCTATATTTATTTTGGAAGTTGAGTTTTTCGTCCACTTGAGAAAGTGACAACAGTCATCAAATGTTTTGGAATATTTAAATCAATTATAATAAATATTTACTTTTAATAAAAAATATATATATATATATATAATTATATCATGATTCATGACTCGTTTGTATTGAAAAACAGTGAAGATGTCAACGGTTCAAAAGATTACACGACGTAAAGTAATTATCACGCCAACATCGTATGGGCAATGGAAAGACGTCGTGCACCTAAGTTGTTATCGACTATCGTATTCTTAATTTTCGACTTGGTCGTCAATTTTTATAATTCGACCAAGAAATATTCAATTATACTTTTTAATCTCTATTTTAACTTTTTAGATTCGAAATATTCGTTAATTTATTAGTATTATTAATGCAAAAGTCTCTAAGTGCATAATTTCTTATAAGAACTTTAGCATCGACTGAGATAAGTCGATGGCAAAGTCGGTGAAAGCAAAATTTCATTCTTTTTACTATTTTCACACATTTTTTTGTTATTATTGCAAACTTGTTATTTAAATTATTTCCTAAAGATTGGTTAATTGCAAAACAACACCAGAAAGATAAATAAATAGGAATGCGAATGCTTAGGCATATTTTTGTACATCAAACTGATGACCAACAAAATAACAGCCTAAACTTCTCCCTACTGTATGGTCCAACCCATGTTCAAATATGAAAATAAAAATTCTAAAGAGAGCTACGAACAACAGAATTCATTTCATGTGACATTATCATTTCATCAAGTGGAACAATAACATGACCAATCTGACGTCTGCACCGTGATTCCACGGATCAGTGATACATACAGGGAAAAATTGTAAGGAAAATTTATAAGAAATAATTTGTCAATCATCTAAACTCTATTATAACTTTAAATATTTAAACCAAAAGGAGAGTGCTAAAAACGGAATATGTATGATCAATTCCTCGTTATTTCTTCTTGTTACATATTATTTTTCGATTCAACATCACTGTCAAATTCCATCCATTTTTTTAAGAACTATGATTCCATGTATTTTGGGATAGAAATACTAATTTTTTTCATTCTTTGATTAGATGTTCTTATTAGTAGTACTTTATGTATCATATGATTACATAAACAAAATGTTAAAACATAACTGCAACTCCCCGATAAAGTGATAAACTCGATGGTCTACACGGACTAAACAAAAATAAAAATAAAAATTCCAACTTGCGACATACTAGTGCTACTACTACATGTTACTCATTTCCCTTTGACTATTGGAAACACTATTAGCTGCTGATGACTCATGTGAGCCGCCCCTATATTCTGATATTCAGTTATTGACTTAACAATATTTTAAATGTAATATTGCAAAAAAATAATAGTAATACTAATGCTTTGAGGTTCCAAGGAGATTGAATTTTTATTTCTTCGCAAATTCCCAAGAGATTATTTTTGTTTTTGCTTCAGTGGATTGAAGATGCAAATTCAAACTTGTATAAATGGGACAAGTCTTTTGGGCTGGATTGGGCTGGGGAAGACTTTTAGGGCAGGAGACCGAACTGGGAGCGGAATCTTTTTTGGTTTAGACAAAAGCACTAAGTTGGAGCATCTTCGGATCTTCCCCTTTATTGCACTTAGCCGTCGTGCCGTGTGAAAAACATTGGGACTTGGGTCTCTCTAATCCATTACACGAGAAATGATGATTTAGAATTTTCCATATTGGGCTGCGTCATCCCAAAACAATACTACTAGTAGTAGTTTTTATCAAACACAAAATCTGGTTGATTTCCGTTTCTTATTTCAGATACTGGGCATTGATCAGATAATACAACCTGTGGTGTCAGTAATTGTACAGCTTGAATCAACACCCCAAAATTATAGGAAATTTCTATTTGAACGAATTTAGAACAAAGGATTTCATTTGGAAAGAACGGCGGTTTTTGAAACTTTGGAAGCCCCCCCCCCACGACCTGGGGTTCTTGGAAGGCTTGCAAATTTTCATCAAAATATCAGGTGAATTTTCCAAGTCCTTCGATTTCTACGCGTTTTCTTTAATGCTGTCTATTTTTGGTTTTGTTGTGCATGAATGGATTGTATTCTACTGAGTAGTTGTTTTAGAATCTAGGAATTTATTCATTGTAGTTTTGGTTCCATTCCGTTAACTGCCGCACCAAAAAGGTATACATCAGCTGCTGTGTGTAATATAAGTCAAGGTAGCATATCCATTTACACCTCCTGTTTGTGCTATTTCTTTCATTTGAGAAATTTGAGCTACGTCTCGGGTTGGACGCGTTGTTGATTCTTTCATATCGAAATTTTAGGAATTTTTAATGTTTTTGTGGATAAATAAAATGCTGATTGCCGCCTTAGGTTTATGAGGTGTGTTGACTTTTCAGGGTGATTGATAAGTATAACTGGGCTCTGTTTGTTTGGGGTGGGTGAACCAGTGAATCATCTTTACAGCCTCTGCGCAGGAATGGAGATCCATGAGGCAATCCAAAGATGTGATGATCTGAGGTTGAAGACAAAGTATAACAACGCCATCAATGTCATCTGTAGAGCTCTTGCTCTCTATAGGTAAATTTTATTTTTCTTTGTTTTCTCATAGTTTTACATCCTTAGATTTTTGTTACTTTGAATTTGTTGTTGGGTTGGACGTATACGTATTTATCTGTCCATATTGACCAGCTCGTGTACTTGGTTTGGTAACTGTTGGATTGCTTTTATATGCATGAAAATGTTCCACGCAACCGGATGCTTTTCATTTCATTCTCTTTGTTCGTTTACTCCGTGTGAGGTAATTTTACTGAGATTATTGGATTTCCGTGTAAAAGATCTGCTGCATTTTATGGAAATACTGATGATCAAGATAGTAAACGCTTTCACTGGATGGTTTATAGACTTATAATAATAATAAATTGTTTCATTGTTTCTTAGACATGTGTTATTATTTGGATTTTGTCTCATGTGCGGATATTGAGCTCCTATTATTTTCCTTACCAGTGTCGAAGAGGTTGCTTTTAGCTTTAACGGAGGGAAAGATTCAACTGTGAGTCTTTAATAGTTACTCTTTGAGCTGTCAATTGTTTGCTTTGCTCCACATAATTTGTTACTCATTGGGTTAAATTATGCTCTTTTAGGTTTTGCTACACCTCCTTCGGGCAGGCTATTATCTGCATATTTCTGAAAATTCGCAATGCAATGGAGTCGTTTCTGCCAAGGAGGTTGCATTTCCGATACGAACAATATACTTTGAGAGTGCATCAGCTTTTCCTGAGATCAACTCATTCACATATGAAACGGCAGAAAGGTAAACAACAAGCATCTCTAACCGACCATGTCAACCGTCTTCCTCGTGGTGGCACATTGATCTTCTTCCTCCTTTTTTTTCCCTTACTCTATCTTCTGCTCCTCCTTTGCTCCATAGGGCTTAGAAAATCAACCAGGTTGATTACCCTGTGCAGTGATAGAGTGCAATTCACTGTTTAATCATTTTAGTGTTGTATTTGGTGTTTTATCTCAATCCTTTTTCTTTCCCTTAAAGCAGATATGGATTGCAAATGGAAATCATTCGCCTCGACTTCAAATCAGGTTTGGAGGCTCTACTAAAGGCAAAACCAATCAGAGCTATTTTTCTTGGCGTCCGAATTGGTGATCCAACAGCGGTATTCAAATGATCATTCCTCCTTTTGGTGAAATTTACTAACCATAAATATGTATAAATCATTTTCAATATTTTTTTTTGTCCAGGTAGGACAAGAACAGTTCTCTCCTAGTTCACCTGGGTGGCCCCCTTTCATGAGAGTCAATCCAATTTTGGATTGGTCGTACAGGTGCTTTCATGTTTGGTGTATATTTCAGCCCCATCCAAGATCAGTTACTATTTATTTTGTTTTAGGGAATGGAACAGTACTGTGTATAGGTTGTGATATTGTTCAACTTTAGCCTTCCGGGTATATGATAATTGATGTCCAAATAAAGAATTCCAACGAAGCTGTGTGTGGTTATACGTTAGATAGGAAACTATAGCTAATTAATCTTTTTTTGTGCTTATCAAACAATGACATCAGTTTGTTTATTAGGTGCTTTGAGAGCCTTTGATATTAGATACCAACTAGTTTCAGCTCATTTACTATCTTCTATTGATGTGATGTCGAATTTAACAATTAAATTGTGTTCATTTGGCAGAGATGTGTGGGCATTTCTTTTGACTTGTAAGGTCCAGTACTGCAGCCTTTACGATAAAGGGTAATTTCTTGTCTTACTGACTTGATAAGTTCTTAACTTCTTTGGTAATTTTGGCAATTTTTTTTTGTTTATATTTTCTCTTTCTATTTCTTTTTGAGCAATTTTATCGCAATCATGTGCGGAACCATATTTCACCTAACGGTGCTTGGTCTATGCAAAACTTTAATGAAGATATTTCCCTTCAGTATTTTTGGATGTCAGTTTACAAGTAGATTGTCGATATCCAATTTCTATGTTTGGGTTTTTCCTAAATATTTTCATGCTACTGCAGCTACACTTCAATTGGGAGCATTCACGACACTGTTCCTAATTGTTTACTGAGCATGGGAGAGTCCACAAGTTCAGAAGAAAAATTCCGGCCTGCGTACACTCTTGCTGATGGAAGATTGGAAAGAGCTGGTAGGGCGAAGAAGTTTTCTTCTCCAGTTCATGGACGAATGTCCTCTGCTAGTGATGGTCTGGGAAGTGGAGAAAAAAGCCAGATAAGCATGCTTACAGCCTCAATCATTGCTGTGGGTGATGAGATACTGTAAGCCTATTGTTGTGACCTTTTCTTTGATTCGATACTTTTGATTAGTATTAGTATTATGTTGTCATTTTTCACGTACTGCTTTCCGTTGCTTCATTGTGATTAGCTGACTTTCCGTGCATCTTGTAATTTTTCTATTCCAAATGTTTAGTTCGACTTTTCACATTCAGAATCCCAGATTTTTTTCCTTCTGTTAAAGCGAAAACTTTATCCATGACCCATCTTCTTTTCAATTTTTTTTGCAACATACCCTTTATCTGAAGACTTTGTATTACAGGTTTCAAGCACTGCTATCTAAAATCTGATTTCATGGCTGTTTTTGTGCGGTAAATATGTGTCTGAAATCTTGCCTTTTAAACATCTGCTGACTTCCTTTTGGGGATTGTAGGCAAATGGTGGTTGCTACAGTTAGTAAAAGTGTTTCTGGCACCTGTTTTCTTAGGACCTCTTTCATTTTGCTTATGTTTGGACAATATTGGTTATCTGGCGCAGAACTAAACTGTTACATAATAACTTTGTTAAACTGATATTTCTGTTAATTCCATAGCTCAGATTTGGCACTGTTGAGGATAAGTTGGGATCTTTTTTGTGCCGAAAGCTCCATTCTATTGGTTGGACAGTCTCTCAGCTATCTGTAACGCGAAATGATGTAAGTCTTGACCAACTTTCTGATTGGGTTATAATAAGGGGAGGATCTTTTATCGTTTCTCATTTTATGTTGTTCCCAAAGAGTTTGGAGAGCTATGCCGTATTTGAATGCATTTAGTTGTCAACACACTTACACTAAGTGTCCATTAATATCTGCACTCTCTCACCCTCTTTAGAGCTGAAAACAGCTTTCACCACCTGCAGTCTGCGTTGGTATGAGTAAGAACTAAATGTATACGAATTTAGATTTTTTTTGTTTAATGTGCCTTGTGATGCTGTTTTGATCCAGATAGATTCTGTAGCTGATGAAGTTGAGAAGAAGAGATCCTCCAGTGACATGGTAAATCATTGCATTTATGTATCTCTGCATGTAACGGTATCAAGATAGATGGCCATGTTTGGACTAAACCACTATATCTTTTGGTACTTGGGGATTCCACTATGTAGAGGAGCACCTCTGTACTCATCAGGCTAATGGAAAAGCAGATCTCTTGATAAATGTCATCTGAATGTTATGCATATTATACAGAGCGAGAGCCTTTGGTCTCTCTTCAAGGTCAACATAAGTACGCTGACACGCACTGTTTATGTTTGCTTATTGCTTGCAGGTGTTCATATATGGAGGCCTAGGTCCTTTGCATTCAGATGTCACTGTTGCTGGTGTTGCAAAAGCATTTGGTGTTCGTATGGTGAGTTCATCTCTTGTTTTATTTATATTTCTGATGGTTCTGTTATTCAAGGTGCAACTTCATTGAAGCTGTACAACCATATCAGTTTCTCTGTTTAGGAATTTTTTAACTGATTTTATAGTTGGCACTCGTCTAGTATTCTGATTTCTTGTATACAACAGGCACCTGATGAAGAGTTTGAAGAGTATTTAAGACATCATATTGGTGAAAAGTGCACTGGGGACAGAAATGAGGTAAGTCTTGCAACATTTGAGCAATCCTGAGAATGATTTTCCTTTTAACATCCCAATATTGACTTGTACACTTCTTAATCACCTGTTGAGGTTTTCTGAATCTTCATCAAACTACATTTTTGCTTATCAGGATTTAAGTTTTATATTATCAGCTTATGTACCCGAAGTAATGTGGAAAATAGAAGCATTTCTTGGCTATAATTTTTGAGAATGAAGATAGTTGAAGGATTTGAATTAGTTTTAACTTAAATTTGTGAGCTGCTATTTATATATGGAAGGACATTAAACAATAACGTTTTTTGTATCCATGATTTTGGTGTTTTAGAGTGTAAATGCCTGTCTTTTGTGCATTACAGATGGCACAACTACCTGAGGGTATCACAGAACTACTGCATCATGAAAAGCTGCCATGGCCTTTGGTATGTGGTATTTTGTTGCACTTAAGTTATTGTGGGTTTTTGCTTTCAAATCAGTGGGGAATCGTCTCATTATATTTATTCATGAACTTGCCTAGGAGTCACCTTGTTTACACACAGTTTATTACATAGTATTTCTGACATACAGAGAGGTTTAAATCTAAGTTAGAAAAGTTACTGTCGTCCTGGACACTTATGAAGGAAAAGGCCTATTGTACTATAATTCCAATCTTATAGTCTCTCATTTTCTATTATGCCTTACCATGTTTATTCCTTTTCTTTTTTTTTTTTTAATAGTTCATTCAGTTGCCATAGAATATCATTGAAATTATGCCTTTTTCGGTTTCTGTGACCAACTTTTTCTTCCGGTTTGTAACTTGGTATTCTATTCCTCGCTCATCTGCTGTTTGGCTTGTAGATCAAGTGCCACAATGTTATAATTCTAAATGCAACAAATGTTGCTGAGCTGGATCTCCAGTGGAACTGTTTGATTGATTTGTCAACTGCTAATGGGCTACTTGTGACTCTGGAGCCTTTCAAATCAAAACATTTGTCCACAAAGCTATTGGATGTAAGTGTGCATCACTTGGTTTTGGTTGCATTTAACTTCATCCGTGCTAGTTACATTACTAATTCTTGTGTAACATATGGGATGCAGGTAGAAGTTGCTCAACCTTTATCGAAACTGTGTCTAGAATTTCCAGATATTTATATTGGTAAGGTTTTCATTATCATGTCTAATCTGGTTTGTCAAACGTTGGATGTTTGAATGACTGATTTTTTGCACTTCTATTACTCGGAAAATGAAGGGGCTTATCGTGCGTCAAGAAACGGAGCACTCATAATAAGTTTCGAGGGAAAGGTAAAAGCAGTTTCTGTAGGATATCTCAAGCATTCTGTTGGTCGATAACAAATAGTTGTGCTGAAGCTTTTCTTTTGGTATGCAGGATCAAGCACGAGTAGAAGCAGCAACTTCTGCTTTATGCAAGACGTTGGACGCGGGAGCATTCACTGAGGTGGATTGATTGTTCTGAGACAGTTTCATCTGTTGTAATGCCTTGGCGCCGAGATGCATTCGTTATCTGCATTTGGCTGAAATGTCGCTAACACGTGCCTGGAACACGCAGAGGAAACGATAACTGAGGGTGTAGAGAGTGCAATTGGATGAGAAACGGGATCAAAGGGGGTGCTCATGAATATGTGTTACCCCTGACTGTAATAGGCTTAGTTTTTGTATCAGAATTTATTTTTGGTTCCGCCGTAGAAAGTGAGGACAACCGGGATATTTGAATATTGATTATTTATGAAACTGGCAACCGACAAACTCTACTGACCTGAAACTTTGATGCATCCCTGTCCATCTAGATTACGGTTTTCAATCTAACCATTCTATGCGAAGTTACATTCTTGCTGAATTAGAATGAGGTTTTCTACGCATGTGTTTCAATAAAATGCACAAACCACGTTACCTTGATTCATGGATTGTTCATTATTTCAGTTTAGGCGTTATTCCCTCTATTTCAAAATGTAGGTCGTTTTAGGTTTGGAGAGATTTTCCAAAATGTAGGTCGTTTTATAAATTTTAAGCAAATTAATGACTATTTTTCCAACTTTACCCTCAATAAATGATGCTAATCTATTTTTATTTAGTCTTGTTTGTAGTTTCAATATAATTAATGAGAGGTAAAAAAGATATTTAACACATAAATTAATTGTTAGATGATTATTTCCTTAATTTATGTGCCAAGTCTAAAAACACTTACATTTTGAAATTGAGGGAGTGTCATTTATCTTAGGTTCAGTATTCTTAATCCTTTTTGGAAATGAAGCCTTATATAATTTGGTTAATTGTTAAACGCTCTGAGATGGTTATGGTTCGATCAATTTTCAGGCCATACCGTTTGATTTTGCATTTCTTTCACAAAAATTACAGAAATTGAATTAGTAATAGAACAAAAAATAATTTATTAGTATTTATTTAAAAATAAAAAGACAGAAAATGCTCAACAATAAAAGCACGCCCAGAAATTTGATAAAAAAAACCACACAGACCTGACGAGAAATCTGCTAGCTTCGGTATCGACATAATTAATTGGGATTCGAATCCTAATATTCGTAGTTTAGAGAAATTGTTTCAACTGTTTGTTAGGATTGATATGGAAGACAAAAGGAGTAAGCAACAGGATGCCATGATAGCAAGCAATCGCCATGGCAATCTGAAGACGGTCTCCGATGACGAAAACCTCAAGGATGTCTTTCATCAAATCAGAACTACCAAAGCTCCGGTAACCACGACTACTTTTTAACCAGGCTGCTCTTATGATGGTATCCATCTTTGAGCTCAGCTGATTTAATGTTTTTTTTTTTCTTGGATAAATTTTGCAGGTAGTTATCAATTACGGTGCATCTTGGTATGTCGTTGTTCACTTTTGTTCATTTGCGTTTCTAGTTCGTAATTCTGAGATGTTAAAGCTACAACTGAAGTTTCTTTGTTGATTGCTTCGTCTGTTTGATTACCAAGTTAGGGTATTGGATGGAAACTAGAGAATGATGGCAATGACACTAGGTGTTTGATGAAATGATTGTTTTTGTAAACAAAGTTCTAGTTATGTAAAAGTATTTGCTTGCTTTATAAGGGACCAAATTCGCTTGCCTGCAGTTGTGTTTTAAGTATACATACATAGGATGATGTTACTGTAATGAAAAGAGGACCCCGCAATTTTTCAACTTCTCATATTTGTTGCCGATAAAAATGCTTACCTTTACGGTAACAATGGCTAAGGTGGTCTGGGTTCAATTGGCTTAATTTGTGAAGATTAAAATGGTTCAGTCTTCAGAGAAGTATGTGGATAGTCTAAACCTTGCATTGCATAGTTCACAAAGCAACTCTATCTCTGCTTTTGATTCTCTTTGGATCACTATCTGAGTAACTTGCACAAGTTGCTTGTCAATTCTAAACAGGGTCATCAACCTTGTGAAGAAGATATACTTGTGTCTTCCTTTGGCTACTTATGTCTGTGAGGTAGTTAAGAAGATGTGCCCTTGAAGTTGAGTGCCATTTTCTTCTTAGAAGAGGAGACCAGTGAATAAGTTTTAGTTTACATGGAGTTCCAACACGTTCATGGTATCTAGTTTCTCCACTAATTGCTGTCATTTACGTTGCTGGTGCTTTGGCTATGGGAAAATTGATTTGGGGGTGTTGAATTTTCTCTTCGATATATGTAAAATCGTACATTGTTTTTGCAGGTGTCGTGTTTGCAGCCAGATTCTTCCCGCATTTTGCAAGTTGAGTGACAAGTTCCCTAAGCTGACCTTTATATATGCTGACATTGATGAATGCCCGGAAACAACTCAGCACATTCGCTACACCCCCACCTTTCATTTTTACAGAGATGGTGAGAGGGTGGATGAAATGTTTGGTACTGGTGAAGAGCGATTGCACGACCGTCTCTGGCTGCAGTCCTGAGGAACCACCATTTTAGAATCCTGAGAGTTCCTAAAATGTTCCTCGTACTAGGTTTATGATGTTTACCGAAACATTGCAATTGCCAAATGGGTATATTTTGGTGATCTCATTAACTTATACACTTCTTTTCTTTGACTAATTGTTGATGTTGTAGTGAACTATACTGGTTTTGCTTTGAAATCACATTCGCTAATAAAAGATTTATTCACTTTGGAATCAAACTTCTTTGGTAAAATATGTAAACTTATGAAAGATTTATTCACCTTTGGAATCAAACTTCTTTGGTAAAATATGTATACGTACCAAGAATTCAAGAGCACATCACAAGGCTGATATAAAGTTCATTATATAAATTCTCGTAAACTGCTCAGAATCTTTCATTGATTTGGGAAATATAATGATTGTTAATCAACATCAACAAATGCCCAAAGAGATATGCTAACAAATCAACTGGAAACATTAATCGACCAAAAAAAGAAAAAAAAAAAAAAGAAAGAAAAGAAAAAGGCAAACATATGGTTGAAAATAATGAAAGAAAATGCTCCGGACTCCTATAATTCGCTCAACAAGAAGCCTAAAATTCACATTACTTTTCTTCAGCAGACTCGGTGGAACCCGGAAATGAATTCAAGCGTGTAACAGGGAAGACGACTATGTTTATTAGTTAGCAGCAAATTATCACTGCCTCTGTATCGAATTTGCCGAGCATTGTACTGCTAACCAACCAGCAGCTTAAGCTTTGGGTTTGAGGACCTTGACAGTCTCCCAGGTGAAGTCAGGGTCATCACGGCCAAAATGTCCGTAAGCAGCAGTCTTTTGATACCTAAAGTTGCCACCTCTCAACAAGTCAAGGTTGATGGCAATCATCCCAGGCCTGAAATCAAAGTTCTCCTTGATCAAGGCCAAGATATCCTTGTCTGGAATCTTCCCTGTCTTGTAGGTATCAACAAAGACTGAAAGTGGTTCTGCAACACCAATGGCGTAAGAAACCTGCACAATGCAGCGGCGAGCAAGTCCTGAAGCAACAACACTCTTGGCAGCTTGCCTAACAATGTAAGCACCACTCCTGTCAACCTTGGTGGGATCCTTGCCAGAGAAGGCACCACCTCCGTGAGCACCCCATCCACCATATGTATCAATGATAATCTTCCGGCCGGTTAATCCTGCATCACCGTGTGGGCCACCAATGACAAAGCGACCTGATGGGTTCAGGTGGAAGATGGTCTTCTCATCAAGGTATTGGGCAGGAATGACAGGCTTGATGACATGCTCTTTCAAGTCAGCTGCAATCTGGTCATTGGTCACAGTCTCGTCATGCTGAGTTGAGATGAGAACAGTGTGAACCCTGATGGGAACCATGGCACCATTCTCATTCTTGTACTCAACGGTTACTTGGGTCTTGCCATCAGGTCTCAACCATGGGCAGGTCTTGTTCTTCCTGACCTCAGTCAGCTTGGCACCAAGTTTGGTTGCAAGGACGTGAGTAAGAGGCATGAGCTCAGGAGTCTCATCAGTGGCATAACCAAACATGTGTCCTTGGTCACCAGCTCCGATTTCCTCAGGCTTCTTAGTCAAATGACCATGAACTCCCTGGGCAATGTCGGGGCTCTGCTGCTCAATGTTGACCAGAACTTTGCAGTTATCAGCATCAAGACCAACATCAGGGGAGATGAAACCAATACCTCTGCAAGTATCACGGACAATCTTCTCATAATCTACGGTAGCCTTGGTGGTAATTTCACCAAAGACCATGACCATGTTTGTCTTGGTGCATGTTTCACAGGCAACTTTGCTCTCTGGGTCCTGTTCAAGGCAAGCATCAAGGATAGCATCGGAGACTTGGTCACAGAGCTTGTCAGGGTGACCTTCATTGACTGACTCGGAGGTAAATAGGAAGGTCTCCATTTCTAGTCTGAAAAGAATCAAACAAAACAGCGTCAGAACATTTGTCTCCCCGAAGACCAGAGAGTGATTTCAACGAAGACGCTACATGGATTATCAAACCAGCATTTGATGTACATATATAAATCATCTCATACAATCATGTACGGAAGGAACAAGTAAAATCATTTTCACAACGAGGACTCCAAATCATGCTTCTAGGAAGACACATTTTTCTAATCCGACACGCATGATTTGACACTAGATTGCAATTATTCCATCCTAGGGTAGTTGAGATCCATAGCATGAAATCAAAGACAAAAGAGGCAGACAACGTAATCAACAAAAAACAGAACAGTACTACCGATTCACCATGAAACATTTATCTTGTGGATAAATCACAATGCTTACGTAATATGCAAACTTTTAGGCCGTACATGTCACTCACAAGAACCGAACAAGACTAAGAAACGAGATCTGCAGATAATGTTTAGATACGAGGCCATATTAACGTACAAACGCATAACCATGTACTACTACAACCAATAACCACGCAAGATCTGAGATTTAATCCTAAACATAGATGAATTAGACCAAAAATCACAAAACAGATGTAGCCATGATCCAAAAATTTAAACAGCCATTGATGGCTTTCAAAAGTAAATCATAATTTTAATACGAAATTAAAGATCCAGATCCCAACAACATGAGAAAGCAAAAGTGCAAATAAAAACAGCAGAATCATAATGACGAACAAACAGAGACGAAAAGAAAGAGAATAGAGCAGCATACCGGTAGAGATCTTGCCGCGAAGAGGCCCTAAGCAGAGAGTATTGGGAGAAATTGCGGAAGAAAATGAAGGAGCAGAAGAAGAAGAAGAGAGAGTTGTGGTCAGAGGGAAAAAAGGGATGCGTCTATTTATACAAGTGGAAATGCAGATCTAAGGACGTGCGAGGGACTCGCTCTCTTTTTTTTATTAATATTTTTTTATATAAATCTTTTTTGAGTTTTGGGTTATCACACGCGCCGCCTCCACCGGGGGTTAGATCCAAATACGCAATTGTAATGGGTTTTACTTTGCTTTACCAACCCCGTTCCGATTTCACCAACTACGGATCACCTTCTTTCGGGTGGGTCCTTATCACACCAACAACAAAAACGAATGGGTAACTCCACCAACCCACCCATCACCATTTTTTTCATCAATTTACAATTTTGGAAAAAAATTCACTCTTTATTATTAGTAACATTCGACGATTCGGATCTTCTCCTCTGTTTCAGTGTACCACTCAATCTGAATCTCTAGTTGCTACTTATTAGTACTGTGATCCGATCCCCCTTTTTTGGGGTGTCTAATTATAGTTTAATTTTGGGAATTTTATTCGATGATAATTTTGATGGGTTTGGTAAAGACTAAAATGTATAGTAATTGGTAAAAGTAAAAAAAAAAAATGTACTTTTGTGGTCATTTTTTGGGAATGGTCAAATTGTTGGTAGATGAGTTGGGCGATAGAGTGGACCAGATGGGGTTTCCAGGGTTGGGGGGGTGGCTGGCAAAAGTGGTCAATCATCCTTTCTTGACAATTCTCGATGGTAGGTGAAAGTCATTTTAACCTCCCATCTATTATCTATTATGAGTACTGATAGAGACAGTAACAAATTATAATGAAATAGAATAATGATTAATGAAAAGACAAAAATACCATCTTTACTAAATATATGTATTTATTAATTTGAGATAAAAATATAATTTTAAAGAAAAAAAATTTAACGAGAAAGTCGTAAAAAACTATGGGCCAAGAATATTACACATCACTCAGTATCTTTTTTCATTATTTCTTTTCACTGTATATGTCATTTTTCATCTATTATTATCTCTTGTTTCCATCTTAATTTCTCCGTTTATCTCGTTTTACAAAAAAAAAAAAAAGGAAATATACAAAGAGTAAAATGTACTTGGACGAAAATGGCATTAACGTTCAAGTGCATATTGTTGACCCATATCAATTTTAGTGACCACATAAATGCTACTTGTGAGAATTTTATTGAATTTGAACTTTGAAGAACCTTAATTATGCTTTTGTACTTTTGACTCAACGTAAGAAATTACTACCACAAATTCAGTCAAAATTCTGGTTGTTGCTAATAAATTCACATAATCTTTTTGTTGATAAGTGCATACAAAATTCCATCTTTTTTTATAAAATAGAAAATATACTTTCCCCCATTTTTTTAAGAAGAAAAGATATGAACGCCAACCCCACAAATCTGATAAACTTAAAGAAATTCTATGAAACGAAAACCTTTATGGGAAATTAATAATTTATATCATCAACTATCTAAAGATAATGATTGTTGTAGAAAAAATATACTAACAATGAATCATAACTGTGGACATAGTTCAACCTTACCTTTACTATTTATTTACGAGTTAAGTGATAATTAAGATTTAGTGACATCATTCACTAGTAAAATTTTCTATGAATTTTAGTAAATTTTTCCGTTACTATTATTTTTTTTATAATATAGGGAACTCCACTAGAGATGGGTAAACTCATGCCCACTACAATAGCCTCAAACCAAAGTGAAAGGTAAATCACCCTAGGCATGAGAACACGTTACTATTATTTTTGAAAACTAATCATATTGCACGAGACACTTTATTTTAAAGAGATAGTAAAGATTAAATCAAATTATTCTCTATTAAGATTTTTTATAAATTTTTCGTACCTGTATCACAACACATTTTTAGACAAGTAATAATTGTTACAGAAAAAACTTACAAATAAAAATCTACGGAGAATGAATCAAAATCGTTCATAATTCAACCTTACTTTTCTGGGATTATAGTGAATAGTTAAAATCAAAATTGTTCATAATTCAACCTTACTTTTCTGGGATTATTCAAAGTGAATAGTTAAAATTCATTCGCATCATTCTTTCTTAATTTTCTTATAAATTTTTTCTGCATGTATACAGAATAGAGTAATTAAGATTGTTTTCAGTTTTGAACTCGTGATTACCAGTCGCCAATATATACCAACTTTGTAATAATCCCAATAAGCAGTTGGTCTGGACTTTGGAGGTGTTGGATGTGTAAAGTCAAGACTCAAGAGTGGAGACTGGAGAGGACAAAAAAGCTCAATTTGAGCGTGGGAATTGTTTAATTGGTGGTTAATTGAAAGACCCAGAAGAAAAGGAAAAAAAAAAACCCTGAAAACGCTGTGGGGGTTGTGACAGTCATGTGGAAATCTGGAATGGAACGTTACAGCTTCGAAATTAGAGTATTAGACACACACACACACACACACACACACACCGGAATCCTGGACCTGCCTTGAATCAGATCCATTTTGGTACTGTACTTAAGTTGTGTACACACAACACAACAGATCACGCGCGCGCGCGCGCACACACACACGTTCTGCTTCGAGTTTTACGCAACCAATTGGCCATACCCTTTCTCTTCTCAACTTGATCTCTGTTGGCCTCGATGGTTACAGCTGCTGTACGGCTTTTACCCCCCACCGATGTTTACTTTTTTGTTTTTTTAAGTTCTCCGAATTATATTAAGCTGGTAAATAATTTACTCAGGGTCAGGGGGACGTGATATTTTCTCGCACTTTGGTTTACTTTTCGGACTGTTGAAAATATTGAAATCACTTTTAGTAATTCATTAACCGCCTTCCTGATTTATACGTAGGAGTTTCATGTATATCTCTATAGCTAATTTGTTTGGTGTAGACGTCCTTACTTCGTTAAGATTGATATTATCATTGGTATAAAATAATATTCTTTTGAAATGTGTTTTCTTTTTTTCATAATTAAATGGTTGCATCACCAATAATTTTTTTTGACCAAACCGAGTTTAACAAAAATCAAAGAAATAAGAATTTTTTTATTATTATTATTTGGTAGAAAATAAGACTTAATTTTGGATAATCAAAAAGGTACTCCCTCCAATCATTGATATAAGGCATTTTGATTTGTGCTAAGTCTAATCTAGTATGTATTTTTAATTAATAAAAAAACTTTAAAAATATTTTATAATAATCAAAAGAATACAAGAAATTTGACAATATATTTTAAAGATTTTTTTTCGTGTATTAGGTGAAACCTAAAATAAAATAAAAATACTTTATATTAAGGACAGGAAGGGAAGGAGGGAGTATTTTCTATTTAGAGAAGAACACTTGACAAATTGACATTCTCGAAATCATTAATTCATCTTTCGTCATTCCTCCCCCATATGAGCATTTGGATCTATACCCGCGTAAATCCAGTTTTTTTCCACACACAAAAAGTCTGTCATATAAAGTACAGCTGTTTCTATGCGCGATCTGCGTACAGTAGTAGCAGCAGTAATGTTTCACTAATTTGCGCGGTTTTCTCCATGTGAAGAAGAAGTATCCCACAGAGCCATAACAATATCTCATGCATCACCGACACCGACACTCGTTTAGTACTTTTTTGGGAGGTTGAAATGTCGTTTTGGAATCTCTTCAACCAATTCCTGAAATCAACTCAACTTCGATTAAGCCAAAATCAATAACAATAATCTAAACCATACACGTACAAACTACTACTAGTACTTCCACTCAGATTCATCGGCTAACTGTATTTCTTTTGTTATTATACTATATACTATATCATCGTGCCGAGTGAGGGAACTCGGACCCCTCAAACCACATGAATCTTTTCGTTATTTTTGGGCTTTGTTGTTGGATGAGACAGAGACTAATAACTCAAACCGAGCTGGAGTCCGAGGGCAGCATGGACGAGAAACAACGTCATTATCCCGCTACCCAGGATTCCGTGTATATTTCTTAATCCTGGATTCCCCTGCACAAATCGCGTGTGTAACCCAAATTTATTGATACTTCCAATAGCTATTTTATTTTTATTTTTTTTTTAAAAGGAGGTTTTGTAAGTTTACCTCAAACAATGCTGGTAATGCACTCTGTAAGCTCAACAGAGCCAGGCCAATAATTCCTGTCACGGCATGAGGACTGCACCATTCATTTATCAAAATACGATGTTAGATTTTGCTTTTTAAAAAAATGAAATTTATTGTATAAAGTCTCTCTATTGGTCTAAGGTGCACATGGACAAGCTCACCGTGGGACCAAAAGGCCCAAAAAATGACCCAACAATCCAACCTTTCTGGGATGCTAAGAGACATAAAGCCCAAATTGGATCTAAAATCCTTGGTCCTTACTCCTTAGTGTTGTTGTATCTTACTCTTTCTATATATATATATAGGTAAGCAATGTGTATTCAATTGCTAGTTTTTGTAGCAAGACTATGAATAATGAAATGGACAAGAGTTACCTTTCCAGGATAGGTTTATCTGAAGTGAGTAAAGATGTTATTCCACCAGTAGCTCCAAGTGCAAAGAAGAAAAACATCCCTCCTAACAGTTTTGGATGCAAATCTTTGGCTTTAGCCTTCTCCTCCTAAGATATATGAATACAGTTTCCTAGTTATGTCAAATGCTCGAAATCAAGCAGAATAGAGGGATGCATAATTACATCAATCAAACATCATTAATCAATTTTTTTTTTTCCCTAGTTCTCACCACATCATCTGAAAATTTAATCCGAAAACCGAGGTAAGTTCCATAACCACCCATGGCGAAAAGCACAACAGCCTACAAGGGAGAAATGCATGTTATTATCTCAGTCTATGAAGTTCCATGATTGATGAATAACAGCAAGAGAAAGAAACTGTGACTGTTGGCTCATCAGAGAAATGTTACCATGTTGCCTGGGTGCCCCCAGTGGACAAGCCAATCAGGAAGGTTCCAAGACTTAACAAGCTCAACAAATGGCCCAAACACAGACCTCACAGTTTCAGCTGGAATTTTTCAGATGAACAAATCAGTCATTAATCTACTTCAAGCAACTCTATGAATAAAGGGGAAACAGTTAGTCAAAAAGCATCCCATAATCAAGATAAGTTCACTGAGCAGTCAACAGATCAATGTTGTGGTACCATATCATCCCCTTTCACATAAGGTGTGTCTCCAGACTAACCAATAACACATAAAATCATACATAGGAATTAGGCACCACATTTCCTAATGAGGTTCTGCTTGTTGAAGTTGGCACATTTATAAAAATATGAAATTGACACCTAATTAAGTGACCCTCCCAGAAGGGGAAAACAGACACAAAATGGACCTTGCATTATTTCCTCTCCCCCTTATACATCTCTCTGCAGTAAGTAAGCTCACTCACATTGGTAAATTTTGCTGTTTACTGTTTAGAATAAATCATGAATGCAGGAGAAAGTAGCTAGTATTTTTTTTTAAACATAAATGTTACAGGGGACAAAATAAATTCAATGTGGAATCAGTGAGAAATTAGGACTAGCAAAAGGCAAACCACATTAGGCCATTAGGGAGTAACCAAAGCATATTTACCTCCAGGAAGGGCAGCGAAAACTAAAAGGGGTAAAGGAGCAACGGAATACAAGCGAGTCTCATCAATGAAGTCTTTCTCCTCTCCGGCGTCATCAAAAGCTTCAGTACTTATCTGATTAATCTTGTTGTTGACGGCGAAGATAGGCATTCTTTTAGAGGGCTCATAGGAGGAAGTGGAAATGGAATATCTGGTTGACTCAGTAGGGAATAAAATGGAGGTGGGCGCCAGAGCAAATGGGGAAAACGACTGTGAAGCCAGAAGATTCAGGGAGCGTGCCGGAAATGAGAGAGCAGATGCATTCACCGTCGCCATTGGGTGATCAAAATAGTAGCTAATAAGCTAATCCTACCCTAGCAAAATTGCAATGGCTGAAATTAATCGGAAATGGCCTTTTTGGCTTTTTGGAGGTAACAGAAAAGCAAACAGCGAAGATAGATAGAGTGGGAAGAAGAATGTAAAGGCAAGAACAGAGACACGAAGGCATTTCCATTTGAATCTTTGTTTGTTTCCACGTGGTTTCAACAAGTCCTCCTCCTTTTGGGTGACAGGGCTCTCTTTCTGGTTCTTTCGGCCCAGATTGATCTGGCCCATCTGTGGACCCAATTTCCTATTAGTGACTCTTTTGTTGGGAATCAAAAGTCAACATCGTCAATACACATACATATCCAGAGTTCGAGATGGAAGCAGAAGCCTTCTGTTTTTCTCAGTTTTGATCAAACCAGCACAAAAACACATCATGATCTCGGTCCTTGTTTGATTCACTTCTCAGTTTATACTACGTCCTTCAAACTTTGAATAAGTTTCAAATTGGTCAATTCCGCAAAGCTAGTCAAACTTGAAATTTGAAATGCAGCACATATATTTAACTTGTAAACAATTTTGGTGGTTTCAAAATCTGCATTGCATTTGAACTACTAAAAATATCTGAACTACAGAAGATATTAGCTTCATTGACATGGTTCAAGCAATGTACTAACTGATCAACTACTGTGCTGTCAACAAATCTTACACTATCGGCTGTTAAAATTTACATAAGCTCTTGCAGCAGCATTCTGGAATTTCGTCTGTACAAACATGAAGAATTGCTACAGCCATGGATCATCATTGCCGCATCTTGCGGTTACGTACGCACATTTCTGTGAATTTTTGCATGTAACGCCTTTTAATCCAATAAGACAAGTTATATACTCCGGCTGAACTGACATTACTTGTCCAAGTTTGTCAGAACCAGTGTAGTGCAGTGCAGCAATGGCATTTGGCAAAAAGTTATGCAACTGGATTGGTTGATTGATTGGTTCAGGTAACCATCCACAAAAGCTATATAAACAAAACAGAAAAAGAAAAACATCAGCTTCATTTGATTGCAAGCAAGTTCCTCAAAGTTATAGAAGATAACTAGTGGAAAAAAACAAACAACGACCTTAGTTTTCAATTTTTCATAGTTCTGACTGTATCCTTAATTTGTCTTGGATTCAGAGTAGCGTGTAATGTAATGACCACTTAACCAAGAACACATGATTACCAAATAAGGGAAGAAACACCGCTACCTGGATGTTTCAAAACATTGAGAACTATGATTGTGACTCCCAGACAAATAACTAACACCACTATAAAAGTGGCAGAATTACCTCCAGTGAATATATTAACAAATATTGCCTTGTAATCTCCTAGTCTCCTATCCTCTGCTAACTCGGAGTATGTTGTTATGTATGGAACCCTTTGTAACTGACTCCCTATGAGGATCAACTGTCCAATGCCCATCCACGATGAATTTTATCTGAAAAATGTAACAAAACAAGAAAAAGAAAATAAAAAATATTAAAAAAAACTGCTTCGGATACACATTGAAAAGACATTTCTTGATAGAAGAGTACCAGGGAACAGCTGTTTCATGGCTACTCTACTCATTTGGTGATAAGAGTAGCCATGGAAATATTTCAGATGACACTTATACTACTGGAGAAAATTAACAAGATTCCTAGAGTCCAGTCCAATTGAAACCTCTAGTATCGATGATTGCAGAAACTAGTGAGAGTATCTCAGAATCTAGTGTATTTCCAGATAAACTGCTAGCTCCACAATCTCAAAATATGAAAAGAAAAGGAGCAATCAACAATGTAGTAAGAACACCCTGTATTTTATGTGTCAACCTCCATTGTCACTTAGTTCTGCAGGAACACAGCCTCCAGTTAGTTTATCAACTTGTGGGGTCATCATGTGACTCCTCATAGAATATAGTCCAAAAGGGCATAATGATTACTTGGATCAGCTACAGTAATTATCCATATCATTAAAACAAATTCCCAGTCCTTTACATTGGTGGATTCAATAGATTACTTTATTGAGTACATTATGATTTCTAAGAGATAAAACTGCAAATTACTAATTTCATAGGATCATGTTAACATTGCAAAAATGATGTAACAACTAGGATCCCAATATGGAATAAAGGTTTATTTAATGATCCATGCCGATAAACATAATGGGATAAAGGCTTGTTGTCGTATACTGATAAACATAGAACCTATAGTTGTTGATCTACAAAACTTTGTCATGGAAAATTCACAGGTAAAAACACTGGACAGTAACAACAAGAGGAACTTCAACAGGAAATACAAACCTCATAAACCCCGGGGTAAAGCCATAAAAGTGTTTTCCAAAGTCGAGATTTCCTGCAAAAATGGTTCATATAACAGATCCCCAAGACTTTCAAGCAAAAAGTGTATTCAGAAAAGCCTATCACTTTAAACATAAAAACTCCAATTCAAAACAGTTATGCCACATGACTTCTTTCACATTTTTGTGTCAGTCAAACAATACATTGGGGATTAAAAGGAAAAGGCTTTAATTGAGTGTTAAAAGGAAAGAAATCAAGTAATGATTGATGACTACCACGAAAGAAATTACAGATAAAACTAAGCTTATTGTGTGACATTGAATCTGATAGGCAGCAATGGAACAAATTATGATTTTCAATTATAAAAGGCAAGTATGGAAAAGTAACTGTGATCTTGTAGCGACTGAGATACTTGAAGGCGGTTGAGATTCCATTTTAATACTCTGGTGCCAGCCATTGAAGCTGCCCGCCACCTCAACAACTTCACCCTCACTCCAGAACTGAATCTCAACCTACTAGGAAAAAAAGTTGCACATCAGTGAGAGAAACATTCTGTATAAAGGGATTTAGAAAGGAATAGATTAAGAATAGTAAGACCTCCTCCATTCCTGAAAGAATCTCTTCAGTAGCATGCAATTCAGCATCTTTATCAGAAATACGTTTCTGCGCTTCACTTATTTCTCTCTGTGCTCTAGTTTGAAACATAGACAGAGCAAGCTGAGAAAAACAAAAACTTTATTAGCCAAAACAAGTTCAACTGGTGAGAAGTTTGTCTCGCCGAAAGACAAACTCCAGACAAGGAAAGCATGGCAGCAGAAAAATTCCTGAACTTGCAGGTCCAGGACTTATCAAGCCATTAAGCCCTTATGTTCACACAGTTTTTAGTAATTTAAAAATAATGTTTACGAGGAAATGCAAAAAGTACAACTTCTGAAGAAAACTTTTCAAATTTAATTTGCATATGATACCAAATAGATTAGTACCTTTTCATTCTCAAGTTGTTCCTTCAACTGGATCAATTCCAACTCCTTCTGATGCTAAGTGCAGAAAAAGACAGCATGGCTTAGACTCTCAACTGGGAAAGATTTATCAGGTTCATTGTGGACTATAAAGTTCAAAACTACCACATGAAAGAAAGTAAGTACCAGGAACTTTTTCAGTCGGTTAATTTCATTCTGATCATCTGTTTTCTGAGCCTGTGTGGAAGTCAAATATACAATTAGCACCATGCCACTTAATGTCTTATAACAACTTCAACTCCTCACAAAAAGATAACATTGATACTAATAAAACGACCTCATCTTCTGGACTCACTATCTTTGTCTCATCAGTTGACCCACTTTCAATCCTGTAAAATCCACAATACTGAAAGTTAAGGACTAAATGCAGTGTTCCCACAATACGAAATATAAAAAAGGTAAAACTATGCAGATCAGCAACATAAAGAAAATTAAGAAAACAGCACAATTGCAAGACAAAGTTTACAATGCCTTTGGTCACTGCATCATGTTTATTATCTTTCTTTGAGCAACTGATACATAATCAAGAAATTTCGAGCATAAGCAATGTTTGGGAGACTAAAATAATGCATGAAGCAGTGTTCAACTTGGATTTGTTCAAGATATATATGAGAAAACAACAAGCTACAGACAAAATAAGTAGAGCACCAAATGAGAATAAAGAAAGATGTTGAACTGCAGATGAACCAAGAAACCACCTTGAGGGATACATTTGAAACTCTCGATCTTCCATTTGATGAGAAGAAGATGCCACACTTCCATTTAATACTTCGGCACCACATAATGTAAGATCATTTTCTGTCACAACTATCAGATTTCAATTTAATATATTATTTGCGATCTGAAAATCTAAATAGAGTTTCTTTTGAAGGTTTTTTGTTTTTTTTTTTTAAAAAAAATGCAGTAAAATATAGGAAAACTAGGCTGAAAATTCAATCCAAAATTTGGGGTACGAAATATAGTTCTTGGAAGCTCTACTTCAAAAGCATATGTAAGGATGATTATCAAGCGCCCTGGTATGAAAATATTAACAACATAGATGCGGAAACGTATTTGAAAATTGTCGAACCACCAAAAACACATGATAACCTCATGTATAAGAAAATCACATTTAGAACCTAATCATCTTTCCATATATTCTTTTGGGGTACAATATTTTTCAATTTGTCATTTCTGAAAGTTTTACCTTCGATACTATCCAATTCTCCATGTTGGATAAACTTCTCCACCTTTTCTTGCAGCCATGGATGAACTGAAGATTCTTCAGTACTGGGGATGTGATTTTCAGGAGGGAGCTCTGTATCTGCTTCATCAGAAGTTGTGTAGCCTTCCCATACAATAGCTTCAGCTGCACCATGTGTTGAGGAAGCAACTTCAGCACATGCACTTTCATCCACTTTCACTAAGGAAGCTTCACTTGACATGGAATCATCTTTAACCGAGTCTATATCCTGATGTAACAGTTTTGCGTCTTCAGTCGACAAGGACATACCTCCAGAGGAGGTATCCACTTCCTCATTCAGACCTTTAGAAATTCAGCGTATGATTTTGGACATTGGATCTAATAATAGTGGAGCATATCAAAATAGTTAAGACAATACGCTAGTACTTACCAGTTGACACAGTCTGAGAATAGCTGATGGTTTGAGTCTCGAATGAGGGTGCAAGAAGCTCTTTCATAAATTTGTATCCTCGTCGCCTAACAATATTTGCAAGGTCTTGCCTACAGCGCACAACAGGGAAATTGAAGTCGGTAAAAGCTTCAAAACAAATGCCTTTACTGCACAAAAATTCAGCATACGAGACTAAAAACTCTACATCTATAGTAAGCACCACTATCTTTTGGAAACGAAAACGACCACAATAACCAATCCACTCTCGTTCAGTTCTTGGAACTGAGAATATGCATTTCATCAAAATAGAGAGTTAAGTGCATTGATCACTCTCCATGACACAAGTATTGTAAAATCAGTCACAAATTTACTAAGGGAGACTTATGCAAAACCTATTATAGAGATCAAGGAAACAGACATTCTCGAATTAAAAAAAAAAAAAATCTAAATAAAACAGAAAATAAAAAGACAGAAACCAGATAATGGAGCAAAACACAAAGAAAGAAAGAAATACACCTTCCATGAGCAGAGAGCTCCTTTGTGGAGGGCACATGATCAGGAGGCAAACCAACGTCAGACAAGAACTGTTTAATATCATTTCGAAGATCCTCATCGCTCTTCGTCTTTCTACTTCTACTCCTATGAAATTCATCAACGCAAGCAAAACCAAACACCATCAGAGTAAAATAATAAAATGCAATGAAGGGAGAGGGTAAAATTAATTAAAGCATCACAAATGTCGCTCTTTCAAAAACATAAGCATTATTAATCATTGGGAGATAATTTTATGAAAACCTGGGTTTCTTGGTTGCAGAAGTGCAGAAGATTGAATGGTTTGAGTCTGGCTTCCAGGGAGGATTGACGGAGCGGAGAGAAGGGAGAGGGAATGAGAAGGACGAGCTAAGTTTGTGGGAAGAAGAAGGGTGGTGGAAAGGAACCCAATGAGATAGTGTGGCCATCACATCACTAAACCCAACCCACGGCTGCGCCACCGCCACGCGCCAACGGAAAGTTTCACTGAGCTTTTTTTCTTTCTTTTTTTTTTTTTTTCAGTTCATCATCAGTTAAAATAATGGAGGAGGATGCGGGATTTACAATTTAAACCCGTTTGGGTGTTTATCCAAATCCAACCCAGAGGATTGAGCTGGGCTGGGATCCATTTACAAACTAATAAGCCTATTTTTCAGGAATTGGGCCGGGTGCATTCAAAAATAAGATTGGCCTGCATTTTTCTCTTTTCCCGGATTCGTTTATTCATGGTGTTGGACCCTTACAGCCCCACAACCATAATAAATGTGTTGTAGTAAAATTTTCACTAATTACCTCCGTCACATTTATCCATCAAAGTAGACTATAAAAACCAAAAGGGTTGTGGTGGAGTGGTAAGGACTCCTTCACCCTTAACCATAGGTCGAAAGTTTGAATCTCGCTATGGACATGGAGCAACCTTACACCTTTGGCCAGCTCTCCCACCCATTAAGGTGCCTACCATGAGCGAGGGGGATTAGTCACTATTGCCGACGGTGGACACCCTGTAATATGAAAAAAAAAAAATAGACTATAAATTTATAAGTCGGTAAGCTCTCCCACCGATCAAGGTACTTACCATGAGCGAGGGGGATTAGTCACTGTAGCCGACAGTGGACACCCTGCAATATGAAAAAAAAAAAAAAAAAAAAAAAGTAGACTATGAATTTATAAGTCGATAATTTTGAGTATTGTTACTCTTGTATATGACTTACAATGAATAAAAAATCAGACTACAAACGTAGGAGTAGTATTTATTATCGAAAACATGGAGTATCGTGCTTCTCGTTAAGTTGGAATTTTCTTCTATTTTGGGATTAGGATTTAGGAGTGGTAGTTAGTGTCCAACATTAATATTGTAGATACAAGGGGGATTAAAGATTTCATCAAAAACTTAACTACAAAAGAAAATGGAAATGAAAGGACAACTTATAGTCTTATACAGAGTAGATTGTCTCTCGCCTTGTACGACATTACGTTTTCGTTTGACTAAATTTTTGTTTTTATTTTTATTTTTTTCCTTTTTGGTTTAGAAATTATGGATCACTTTGGATATCATCAACTAGATGGTACCCGCATGATGTGCGGGATAGATAAATTATGTATAAAATCAAACATAATAAAAATCAAAGAAATATTTTATATTTTAGTAAATTGATATATAATATAAAAACACTAAGTTAAATAATGTTACATTTAAAGTAATTTTTATGCGCTACTTATTTACAGAAGAAAATAAATAGATCCATATATTAATCTACGTGTTAAATATATTTTATTTTCGTGAATTATCAACATATATTTCGCCATGTTGTCCCAAAGAAAACATCAAACATTGAAATCATTAATTAAGATTGGCAAAGAAACTCACCGTGATGTGCATTCGAAAAATCCTTGCTGCAAAAAATATTTGCCCATAATTTCCAAAAGTTAGAAGCGAAAAACTTTTGACACAAAAAAATAATGATTATTAAAAAGAAAAACATAAATCCTAAAAAAAAAGAGAGAAGAAAAAGAAGAAAAGATTCCGGTATAAACAGGGATTGCAACCTAGTTGAGTTTTATAAGCACACTTTATATATACATAATAATTTTATTCACATGATTAATGTGATTGGAGCGATTATAGGCATACGTTTATATTTGATTTTGTTAAAATAAAGTAAATGGATATTCGTGTATGCAATTATGACTGATGATATATCTCTAAAAAATTTTATCTACAATTTTTTTAATTATTTCAAATTTCAAAATAATATTAATATTGTTTAATGATCAAACCACTATGTAATGGTATTATTCAATCCAGTCGGAAAATATTTTCAAATCAATCAGTTTTAATGTTGAATTAAAGAATCACTGATTATTTTGTAGTTATTATTTTTCGAATTTCAAAAAAGCACTAATACTGTTTAATGATCAAACCAATATTAATGGCATTTTCAAGCTAATCAGAAAATTTTTTCAAATCAATCAGCTTTAATGTTGAATTAAAGAATCATTGATGATTTTGTATTTATTATTTTTGAATTTTAAATAATCATCAATATTGTTTAATGATTAAATCAAGACGTAATATTATTATTCAAGCCAATCGGATAATCTTTTTCAAATCAATCTTATTTAATGTTGAGATTTTAAAAATTTTCCGTTTTCTTTTTTATTTTAGGGAATGTAAAATAGAAAGTTTACCACACAATTAATTGATATACTTTAATTAAGAATTGATAACAATTTATTAACTGGAAATTTAAAGGACTGTTAGTGTAATTATTATATTTTTTGTGACAAGCTATAAGGAAATGACACATAAGATTTTGTCCTATGTGTCAAAGGGGAGAGAAGTTTGATTTCCTCTCTCTGGTTTCTCTCTTAGTATAATACTATAGATTTGCCATTTCATAAGAAAGACATTAACCCTGTAGTAACAATATTACCGTTGACGTGGTCATACATTTGACAAGTCTAAAGAAAAACACACAAGTCCCATTAAGAAAATTAAGCAGAAGCTATACTTTAACGTAGATTCTCCATTTTATATGATTTCGATCTTTATCAAAAAAACAGACTAAACTAATGTACATTGTGAGAATACTCATTAGTCATTTGAGTCACAGGGCTTTACATATCCATTTATGTACGATATTGACTTAATTGGAGTAGTTGACTTTGGAGCTGCAAGCCAATATATTCCCGTCCTTGCTAAAAGCATCCTAGTCCACAACTCTTACTACATTAATTAATTAAATTATCGTATAATATGAGTATGATAATGTCCTAATCAATAATTGATCATCTTTGACAAATTGTCTAATATTTACTAACGTGATATTTACTATACGTGTCTGAATTTCCCAAGACCAATTTTGGTTGGTCATCCAAATTTATCTTACTACACATTGGATCCTTAAACATGCAAGGCGACTCGATGAAGGGTCAATTTTTCGTTAATTTAGCGCTTAATCATAGTAAATAAAATAAAATTAAAACTATCACTTCCAATCCGTTATCAAAGAGTTGGTGTAATACACCTACACAGTCAAAATATATAACACACCAAGAAGTCATATATAGATGTTTGCAGTTAGGTAAAGCAGCACTACTGAGTGTGTAATTTAAATGGTTTTTTAAGTTTTGAACGATGCATGCATGATGACAATTAGATTGAAAGGTTTTCTGTTTTTTTCTTTTTAATGTTTTTGTAATGATTAATTAAGGAAGCCAATTAAAAGCCACATATGGATATGGGACGTCGATATATTTTAATTTAGTAAAAAATTAAAATAAAAGTCGACTGGATCGTACACCGGTAGTTAGGGAAATTCAACCACTCTTAGCTAAGTGTGCTGAGTTCCATCTTCCAGAAAGAAGAATATAATTTGTAAATAAAAGTTTCTAATTTGTCCACATGTATTAGCTAGAAAGGTGTTCGGAGTTGTTACGGTGTCTTCTTTCATATAGTTTTATTGCCAATTTGATTATGAAAATTCAAATGGTGGTTGTAGCAAACCCTTGCTTCTTCTGTCTGTCTATACGAATATTATTTGGGATGTGCGTCCTACGTATCTATATCAAAATTTGTGTTTGATTGCTCTATGGAAGTGCAGGACTGTGGAGTGGTCTGTGGAGATGTCTAAAATAAACATTCAAGAAAAACACTGTCTGCCGTCCGTCGACATAAACTAAGCCGACGTATATATCAACGTAAAATCGTCGATCTTTTCGTCATGATAAAAAACGCGACGGTCAAGTAGACGATGGAAATTTTCTTTTTAACTTTCAGTTTTAACTAAGTTTTTCAATTTTGAAGTTTCAAATGAGAGACATATCTGAGTTATTCACACATATTTTACACTACCCTATTAATTATTAAAAAAACAACATATTAAATCATCTTGGCTTGTAAGTTAGGGTTTGACAGTTATATAGCCTATAGGCAAGGCATTGAACATGAGTTTTTCCATAGACGACTCTAAAAATTTTGTTATTCAATAGACACTTGTGGATGAGATTTTTTTTTATTTTTTATTTTCATCCTCTTATGACAATAACTTACATTGCATGATATGATTTATTTTTTATGGTGGCTAATATCTTTTGAGATATCGTGTTTCTCGAAGATTTGATTTGTTGTTGTTCTGTTTAAACACATCAATTCATTTTTTTTTTTTTGAGATATAGGTAAGTGAATGTTTTAAGGTGACAAATTATTAAATACTTTCTTCATTTTCGATCTTTATCCCTTTTGACTCGAATGCTTATTGTACAAATAACGTTTTGTGCTAAATAATGTTTAGCTGAACAAAAATAATTTTGGTTAATATGAGCAAAGAAAGCAAGAAAGTTCTTCGCTTTTCCTTTTTTTTTTCCCATCCGCTACAAAAAAAAAAAAAAAATGAGGTTAAACCTGAATAAAAATAATTTTTAAAAAAAACGATTACTTATACACAAGTAAGTAACACCAACTACTCATGTTCTTATCATAATTTAACAACCAAAAGTGGTTCATCCAGTCTTCGGAGATCTTCTGGAAGAATAATTATCAATGGAACCAAATAATTTGCTGTAATTTTATTGTGTTCTCTATGAAAGTGTTTAACTTCCACTATCCACTCTCTGCATAACATCTCAAATTCTTAATAATAGCTCGGACAATATTATTGTGTATCTCCCTCCGTCTCAAAAAATAGTTCAGTTTCAAAAAAGTCAAAATTAAAAAAGATAAAATGACTTAGCTGTCCTTTTGGCAATCTCCTCCCCCAAAAAAAAAACCGAAAAAATTCCATCGGCGATGTTGCCGACCATCGACGGGGTGAATTTTAATTCCAAAATTTTTCAATGATAGCATTGAAAGTCTCCGATGAATCCGATGATTCAATCCAATCGAATATGAAGAGATAAACCTTCGTTGATGATAACGAAGCAGTGGCGGACAGCAGCGACTGAAAAAAAGAAGAAGTGAAATTCAGCGATAGAGGTCGACGTCAGTGGAGGTGGTGGTGTGGCTGTTAGGAATATTATCTTGATCCGAAACACAGGTGGTGGGGATTTTTCACCACCGTGGCAATTCGTATTCACATGTGTCCCATCGTCTTTTTCAGCCGGAAGTTGCCCAGAAAAATTAAAGGCATAGATTCAACCTTCCTTTGCGATGGCGGACATGAGAGCGCTCTTGTGAAAAAACCTCCGGTTAGCTTTTTGTTTTTTCTTTAAAAAAAAAGAAGAAAAATATAGTGTGGCTCGATGTTAAATTAATTTTAAATGAGGGATAAAAATAGAAGTTCAAAGGATTAAATGAGTTGTACCTTGTTTAGGTTGACTAAATTAAAAAAGTTGTATATTTTGAAACTGGACTATTTTTGTGGGACGAAAGAAGTAACTAAAAAGAAAATGGTCCTTCACAATTTCAATGATGTGGCTTAACAGTCGAGTACTTCTTTTGTCTTATTTTAATTATTATATATTTTGTTCAATTGAGTATAATAAAATAAACTTTTTTTTTTGTTGGTACAATAAGAGGTATATAAGCCCAATTACTTTTATTAGTACAATAAAATAGACTATTTTTTTTATGAACTAATAAAATAGACTTTAAAATAAGACAAGGCAAGCTAATCAAGTATAACATGGTAAGATGACTATGCATTTTAGATTTTACCATATCTTACCGTTATGCTTGTGACACAATAATAGGTGCATTGATATCCTAGGCCATGGAACCCAAAAGTAAAAAACAAGTTGACATTTCCATAATTCAGAAAGAAACACGCTACTGGTTACGTTGACCAAAGACGGAGGCAAAGTAGTAAACGTCACTTCACCCCTCTTCCTCCAAAGGTCTCGATGTCAAAGCCTAAAAAAAAGCCTAAAAAGTAAAACTAAACCTTCAGTTCCATTATTTGTTCAAAAACCTAATAAACTTTGAAAGACCTCGCCAATAATTGTTGTCATAATTTATCTTTGCTTCTGCAGTCTCACTATCTCAGTCTAGGCTTTTGTTAGCCCCCCACTATCTAGACATGTTAATGGATAACTTTTCTAGTATTGGATGTGCCCCAATCCACATTTTGTTAAACTTGTACCAAACTAATTGCTCCCCCCGTCTTAAAATATAGTCAACACTAAATTTTTCAAATTTATAATATTTTAATACAAAACTTAAAACTTAATATGGACTATTTTTGTGAGACGGGGTAGTATATCGTAGTGTAATCATAGTTTGACACTATAATAGGATCTTCTGGAGCCTTTAAAAGCTAGATGGTAATCTCATACTATTCTTACTAGTAAAAATAAATTATTGAGACGAAAATTGTGATTATAATCCAATGGTTCCTATATCTCTTGTTATGATCCTCCAGACTTATTATTTACCCCTAACCTTTCAACCTTTTTGTAACACTAACCAGGCTAGAATCTGCAGAAGAGATTCTGAAGAAATGGAGTATGGACCCATACAATGCATTATTTTTCCCAGGAAAAACCATTAGGGCCTGCATTACACACAGTACTAAACGCTGTATTTCTCAGCTATTATTCAAATGTATATAAACACGCGAAACATAAAAATGCATATGGATGAATCAGAGTCTTTTTCAATTAAGATACTGGCTCCATTTCCCCTATTATTAAAATGGAAGGGTTGGCAAAAAAAAATGCCAAGATAAAAAAATACGAGTAATATCGACATATCATTTTCAATACATACAACAAAAAATTACTATATTCTTGTGCCGTAGCAACTGGAAGCCAATATGGCTATATTTTTATTTTGATTTTGTATACAGCCACAGGCTTTTTTACATATATAATATACTACGTACACTTGGTGTTTGAATACACTATTTATTGTATATCTGCGTTTATGTTTTATTACTTGGATCAAGTGCTAATTGGTTTAGAAAAACATACACTGGCTTCGGATATATATCATCATGATACTAAGAGACAGAGTAAGACGACCAAGTAAAGCCTATAGCAAATGCAAGGCTGCTGTCCCAGATGGAAGGCTATGTTCTTTTGTTTTCAAAATTTTATTCCCTTATTAAAGATTTGTTTATGTGTTTATGACACAGAAAGTTTTGTCTTAGCTAATGACTTAGACAAAAAGCTAGTATAATTGAAATTGTGTGTGTGTGTGTGAGAGAGAGAGAGTCTGTCCTTTTGACTTGTGTATCTCTCCCTGATTAATATATACTTAAGGTCTTCTAAAGCAAACAAAGTAATCCGCTTTCTCCGCAGCCCCCAAACCCCCCTTCTTTCTTCCCCCTAAGACCCTTATAGTATAGTTAGTACTGTCTGCCTGGAGAGGAAAAAAAAACACACATACACACACACACACTCAGACAGTGTCAAAAAACAAAGAGTTTGGAGAGATCCGATGGGAAGGGCACCTTGTTGTGACAAGGCAAATGTGAAGAGAGGACCATGGTCCCCTGAAGAAGATGCTAAGCTGAAAGAGTACATAGCTAAATCCGGGACTGGTGGAAACTGGATTGCTCTTCCACAGAAAGCTGGTATTAATGTCTCTCCATTTTTTGTTGTTTGTTCTGTACTTTTGATGTTTAGTGGTGCTCTTTCTCTTTCATTTCGTTGACTCAAGTGTTTTGCTGTCATGTCGAAATTATTCTATGATCAGGGCTCAAAAGGTGTGGGAAAAGCTGCAGATTGAGATGGCTAAACTATCTTCGACCCGACATTAAACATGGTGATTTCACCGACCACGAGGATAGGATCATTTGCAGCCTTTATGCTAGTATTGGTAGCAGGTCCGTCAATCTTCCCTTTTCCCCTGTTCTTTCATATATACTCTGTTTTTTCTGGAAACCTCTTTTTCTTGTGCCACTTTTCCTTTTGTGTTTTGGGGTTCAAATTGCTAATTTCAGTTAGCACTGAATTTTTCCAGGTGGTCAGTGATAGCAGCTCAGTTACCAGGAAGAACAGATAATGACATCAAGAACTACTGGAATACCAAGCTGAAGAAAAAACTCATGGGATTTGTACCTTCATCTCAGAATCATCGTGCACCAAAATCCAGGACTAATCACCATCCACCAGTGTTCTCTGTTCTTGATCAACCTTCATCTATAACTTCCTCACCTTATTCAGCTCCATCTTCTTCACTATCATCACCACCAACAACATCTGCTTACAAATCATCTTCTGACAACAATTACTATACTCCGTCTCTCGCAGCCGGATACGAAATGTTCTCAAATGTGGCATCAACCCTTTTGAATTCTGCTCATTCCGTGCACAATTATCAGGGAATTCAAGAAAGTTTCCTCAGGATAGGAGGTGAGGCTAGCTGTAGTTCTTCAGATAACAGTTCCAACAACCAAATCGGGTACGGAAAAGAGGCCGGAACAGGGAATGGATATGGTGTGGATTTTCCAAGCTATTTCTATCATGGAGTTGATAATGATATTGATCAGAATCAGAGGATCATCCCTGGGAATTGCAATCTTGATCATCATCAGATAAAGCCAGAAGTAGGTTGTTATGGTGAAAAACCAGTACTTGACTATGGTCTTGAGGAGATTAACCAACTCATCAGTACTAACAACCTTTGCAACAATTTCTTCGTTGATGAAATCAAGAGTGAAGAAAAACTGGCGTATTAGAGTGTTGAAAAAAAATTCGTTGTTCATTCATCATAGTTTCACTTAGACTTCTCCATCCACCGATCCTTGGGTTTATTCAGTTCAGCATTTTTAATTTCTTTTCTTTTTTGCTTTTTTTGTATGTTTGATGATTAATACCTTTTTTGGACAGTACATATCTAGGTGATGAAAGTCCCTATGTTCATATGGCTTTTAGCAATGATGGGACTGTGTCATTATTGCACTCTTTTAGCTGAGCCAACAATGTTTTAGTGAAGCTTCACTGGAACTATCATCAACTTCTGCAAGAATTAATAACCTTCTTTCTTCGATAGTAGTAAGGATGGATGATAAATAATTGGCCATGTCCCTTTAGCAAAAAAAAAAAAAACTACGGTTTTTTTCCTTTGTCGGAATCTAACATTTTCAATTCCTACTTATCATAATGCGATTCTCAGACTTGCAAATGACCCGTTGAATAATTGACGGGCCAAGCTTATCAACGGTAAGTAATTCCAAAACTATGTACATCTCATCCGTCCAGTGGCCAGTATCTTTCATTATAGAAATCATAGATGAATTATTTTACACGAAAGAGCGGTTTCGCATGCTGTTTTTTTTACAGCTAGAAAACATATAGCGGGAAAAAATATATATATATGATTTAGCTAGTGCCGCTGATTACGATTCGCGATAACCATGATTGAAGTATTCTTTTTCCGTCCCAAAATAAATAGTACTATCAAATTTTCCAAACGAGCAAAAATTGTGTAGTGCTTACTGCAGAACTGACTGTCGTCGCTTGAAATATTAGATTTTGGAGTACATGTGAGCCATGTTTCCATCACCAATTTTGCAATTTGATTACGACTTGTGGTTTGTGGGGTTTATCACCACTTTTAGGTGACAAATCGAATTGTTTATACGGAAATCCAAATAGGGCTGCTAACAAAAAAGTTCAAAAAATTGCAGGATGTCCACAAAATGATTCCTCATGCCAGATGCTTTTCTAACACCAAGATATATGAGTACTTTAGTGGGGCTTGATTTCGTTGTTTGTAACAAATGTAAGAAAATTACATCTAATTTTTTCCCTAAAAGGGGGTTTAATCTGGATACTTCTGCAAGATCAATACATTGACCTCTTTGCCATCTTTGTTGGGTTCCATCTGTGTCAGGAGTTAAATTAAGAGGGATTAGCAGGCTGCCAGCTAATTAGATAATGAACTGTGGGAAGACTAAATTGGGGAAAGTGGTATTCAGGGAATGTCTTTTCTCGTGGAGTTTAAAAAGGTCAAATGGGATGGCATCTGCGTACTGAACCAAAGAGTAAAAATTAGGTGTTTTTTTCCTGCCAATTATTGCTTCAGAGTCTTCAGCTATTTTCACATATCAAATATGGAAAACGTGCTTGCCAGAAGTGCGAATGGGATGTCCATTTCAAAGCGGATACACCCAAGGTTTTGATAGTGGATCAGTGTGATCTCATCTTCCATCTTAATTGAAGCCAATACTCCCTGATTCTCATCGTTCCTAAATCAAGTTTTATGGTAGAAAATTTTTCAGCAAGTCAATCAGCAAAAGAACCACCAGAAAACGTGCCATCCCGGTGGAGGATTTGTTTCCCCTACTACGTTTTTTTTTATCACTCTTCATCGTTCCAGAACCCCGACCACAGATATGAATGTTATCAGATATATTAGAACCGAGATAAGTGGGCATTTAAGTCAGTAAGAGGATGAAGAATGCGTCCACAAACCCCGTAAGTTGTTAAAGATTTCCGGGCACAAGTCCTATACATAACCATTGTCACCAGCAAAACCAACCTACCGAAACAGTTCAATGTATAAATTATAATGCCTAGAAGAAGAAATGATTCCATTATGGAGTTACAAATACTTTTTGCTCCAGTTAGAAGTAACCTGAATATAGTCAAGGTAGGTTAACAAAATGAACCACCTTTAAGTCAGATTTTGGAGATGAAGAGGGACTATCAATTGACGGATCATATTAACATTGAATGCAGTACTGTACAATGAAGGATTACAAGTTTATATACATTTCCAAATAATGGTCAGATAGACTCAGAGGATTTAATAGTACCTACAGGAAGTCCCATTGCCAATATACCTTGTCTACAATTCCTCCACCACTCCGAACTGCAAGGTGCAGTGTTTCAGAAGCAGGGGGAACACCCCAAAGTAGCGGTACAGCAACTGTCATGGTTAGCTTTTCATGCAAACCACCTCTGATGGCTTTCTCAGCAGCAACAACCTGGATTCAACATTGTTAATGATCAAGCATTGAGAATTAACCAACTAGAATTTCTATTCAATGTATTGGTTCTACCGGGTGTACTTCAGGAAACTCTTACGATATGAATGGACAACTGTAGTTCCAACCATTAGACACTTTTTGGCAATCATATATGGAGAAGACAAAATTAAGACTGATCAGAGCTCTATTACAAGGTAAGTCTTCTACGAGGATTTCGACCTCAAGTGAGACACTATCAAGTCAAAGACAGAGTTAAGACTGATTAAAGCTCTATTACAAGATGTGTGCCTTCTATGGGGAATCCAGCCTCAAGTGAGAGACTATTAAGTCAAAAGGGACATACCTCCCCACCATGCTCCAACACAGTGTCTTCAACAACATCACTTAGCATTTCAATGGACCGACAGAAGCCAAAAATACAGAGACGTCTACCCGTGTCAAGGCCCTGTTGTAACCAAATTTCAAAGGTATTAAATTTTTTCTTCCCCATATTATCTATACATGTGAAAGTAAAACGAGAACAACATACATTCGTTGCGGCAATGTCAAACAGTGCACCCAAGCACAGGACTTGATTTGGATCCATATAGTCACTTTCTTGGAACTTTTGGAATCTTTGGGATGTCTTCAGTTTTCCAAACTTCTTCTGCATAAAAGCAAATGGCCGCCCACAAGCTTATTAAATCTCACCACAGAAACATTTTCGACAAGCATGCATCCAAGGGAAGGTGGTAATGGAAAGTATTGGGTGAATCACAAAGTAATCTCCCTTTTTTCATTTACGACAAAAATTCAAGCTACCAAATTCAAGCTAACATACATCACTAACAGAGGTTCTCCGAGGCACCAAATTTCCCCCCAGGTGCACAAGTCCATCAGCAGTAAACAAAGTGACTCTTTCTTCAGGAACCCATTGCATGGCTGGAAACACAAAGGAAGAGCTTCACTTAATAATATTATTAAGACTTGATGAAAAAGAAAAGAACGATCTCAACAAACCGCTAGATGTTGCTCTAAAAGTCCCAACTACATGCTTTGCACAACATACAAATATGTGAACAGAATGCACCAAAGTAAAACAGTCAGCGTGCAATTGTTGGTCTTCTTACACATAAAAATTTATAGAGTAAGAACAAAATTCGGGTATAGAAGCTAATCGGTTAAAAGAACTAACATTATAATCACTAAGTCTCGTAAAGCATTAAATCAATCACATGAGCGATTGATAATGATCACTGTAGCCAACGAACAGCCCATAATAATGCTGAGGGTGTATAATCAGCTCCACATATGCGCTGGCTAGGACGATTTCAAAAATCAATAAACACTAACGCTAAACCTAGTTACGAAAACAAATTGATAAGGGTGCCCTTCAGAGAAGTCGACCGAACAAGAGCTAAGATTATGAACAGATTGAAATTATTGCAGCAAGAAAAAATTAAAGCGACAAAATTATTGAAAGGGGGAAAATAACTGGAAGAAATGAAACATACAGGAGTCTCCAGAATCGGAGGATTCCCAGGGGAAGGGGCCGTAGGCGTCGTCGGCGAAGAAGTGGCCGGAACCGGAGGCTCTGGCGACGAACCGTACAGATTTAGGGCGGCGATGATGCGGTGAATTCGGATTAAAAGGAGGGAATTTGCAGAATTTCAAGAAAGAAGAAGAGGGAAAAGCTTGGTTATTATTAGTAGCAGTTTCATTGATGGAAGGAATCGAAGAAACAGTGGAAAAATATCTAAATGCTGTGGTCTCAGAGAGCATTCTTTCTTTGTTTGTCTGATAGTTTCAAGAATCTTAATGAAAGGAAGAAGAAAATGAGGAAGAGGAATAGAGGATTCTGTACACTTGTGTTCCTGCAATTTGGGGGGAAAGGAATTATGAACAATCGGAAATTGGGAATCTGGATCATTGACAAAAAGAAAGACATAGAGATGAGGAGAATTTGATGCCACACAATAGGTCGTCGGTTTGACACGTGGACTAAACCACGGTTTGGGCTTACTCCCCCCTTCGGTCGACTATGTCAATTTGTGAATGCTAGAGAACCGGGTTTAAACTTTGAAATGAAATGGTTGGTCCTTACTCCTCAGCATAAAAGGAAAAAAAAAGACTAAAAGAGAGAATTCTTCCTTTGATCTATAGCGATTCAATTGTGGTTGGCTGAAGAGTTTTGTAAACCATCAATTGCACTCCATCATAATTTCAAACTAGAAACCTCACATCTCCAAAGAAAATACAAGAAGAGCATAAACATAATTATTGCACGGTTACATATTTTTCTTGGTTTTAAAATAATAAAATTTTTTATCTGATAAACTAAAAGTATAAAATAGTACAGTAGAACTTCCGTAAATTATAATAATGTTGGGACTACCAAAATTTATTAATTTAGAGAATTATTAAATAATCGATATATTAATAAACTATTAACATGAAAAGTCCATATTATTAATATAAAAGTCGATAAATTAATAAATTATTAATTTATAGAATTTCTATGAGAAAAAAAAAAGAATGATCACTAAATTCCTTAATTTGTAATTGTCTTTACATAAGAAACAATCAAATATTAAACTCTTCTGAATATGAAAAGTCCATACATAGTTCATATGATCTTCATAGACTAAAAATAAGTATGAATAGTTCATTGTTGGGACCTATAAATATATAAGAGATTTTTTAAAACATTATTATCTTATTATTTTATTAATTTTATTCATTTTTTTGTACTAATTCCATGTTGGGACCGGAGAAAATTATTAATTATTAAAAGTTATTAATTTACCGATAAATCACTGTACAGAGGAAAAAAAAAAATCTCAATTTCGAGATACAGGAGTCGTGCATTTTGTGGGAATGGCATTCACAGAAATAGGTAGGATCCTGCAAAGAGCCCCTAAAATTGGTACACTTATCTATTGGACTTCTGGGAGACTAAAGCTTGATGCAAAACAAAGCCCATATTTTAAAGTGGGATAAGCCCGAGAATGTTGTTGGTCTTGGGAATGAGCCCAAATGGTCTACTGCACTCTCCGGTATGTGTTGCATAATTCACTGTTATTTGCATGCTGTGTAAATATGCACAAACAAACGGTAAATCTGTGTAAACCTCGTATTGCTCTAATGATGAGGTCAAAAATACTTTCACATCTTGTAATAACAGACTTTTAAAATAATTACTTTTAAAAACATTTTAACAGTACAGTCAAAATGGAGAAGGTACTCGTTCTAATATGTTACATGTACTGTAACTATAGACGATGTAGTAAAGAATTTTGATGGAATTAGTGAAAAATACACTTAGCAAAATGTGGTAGTGACATGCGATAAAATTATCAAATCATACCATCTTCTTTCACAGTGTAACTATGTGCATCATAATATTCCAATAAAAAATTACCAAACAGGAATAATGTTCAAAATTTGAGCTGAATAAAAGTCCACTTCGATCGGGACAAAATGGGCATATAAACATGAGAGACAACAATAAGTGCAGAAGTGACCAAATATAGGAGAAGCCTGAGATTGTCGGAGAACAATCGAATGCTGGGCTGTTATCCAATTTTTTGGAATCAAAGCCCACGGGCCCCTCTTCCTGACACACAATCTGGAGTCTGGTGAAATGTTTCTGGCTAGTTGCTGCTGCAAATTGGTCCCTCCAAAAAGAGTCCTACCGCATCTGCGCACTTCAGGACTCTTGGCCCATAAAGTTTCTTCGGACATCATCATTAATGAAGCCCTTTTTAAGAGTACTAGAATGCACACACAGACACACACTTATCTTGGTGCAGATTTTGTTTCAGCACTACTGGATTGTTTTTCTACGACACCTGCAAAGAAAAGGGCGTAAAATGGAAAACGGTACAGCTGATACGCATGACAAAGAATATATGCATTGAAGACAACTATGGAAAGATTTGGAAGCGGTATTTAATCGACTGGAACATGTAATGTACGCAAGATAAAAGTAAATAACCTTATCACTGTATTTCAAAATAACATTGATTAGTACTAAACCACAAGGATAAAGGGGGAATAACTGTCCATCCATTAAGTCCGTGGACGCTGAATAAATTAGTAATGCTATCAATTCAAGCTGCAAAGTTATTGTCTAAAAAAAGCGATTACTTTGTCCAATGAGCACCTAAAGTTCATCTCTATAAATGTCAATGAAAGCTTGCCTGTTATGGCTGTCTTAGACTTGGTTTATAACTAATCACGTCAAATCGCTGCATAAATTAAAGCGCAGTAGGCAGACTAATACTTCAAAAAGTTTCTCTTTTTAGTGCCGTTTAGTTTGAAACAAATGAATCATTTTTTTTAAATTTTTTTAATCGAAAAAGGACGCAAAAACAAATTACAATACATTGTAGATATGTTACCCGACTACATCATGGTTAAGCCATCTTACTACTTCCTGTTGGTGGGGATTCCAGTCGAAATAACTGAATCAATTTGATAGTGAGTTTGCTAGCTATCGTAGGATGAAGGAAATAAAAAGTTAGAGAATGGGGGGATGACTCTTAGAATCGCTAATAAGCAACCATCATTTAGTACTATTATTCCGTTCAAAGGGGAATGAAAATAACGTATACACTAGTGATGAGGATACTAGAATCTCGAGTGAGAGACCGTATTACAAGTTACACACATGCACTCGTTTCTCCTTATTCTCACAACGTACCATGCATATTTTTGAAAAAATCATCTGATTTATTCTCAAACTCGCATCAAACACATTAGCTTCGGTTTTTCTCATTTCTCGACGTGCACTTATTTCTACAGAGCACATATCACAAGCATTTCGTATATACAGCAGAGACATGAGAAAACAAAGCCGCATGAATCCATAATCAACCCAAAATATTAGTGCTTGTTTGGACGTCCATTTAGTTTCTATTTGACTTAAAAGTGGAAAATATTTTAAGTGAAAAACGTAATGAGAAATGAAAAAGTTATTTGGATGGTATTTTAGCAAAAAATTATTTGGATGGTGGTTGGAAAAAAGTTTTTTAGAATATGTATTAGAATATCAAGTACGAAAAATATCACTAAATAATCAAAAAGTGTCAATTTTAGTCACTGTAAAAAAAATTTAAAAAAATGATCACTAAACAACAGAAAAATGTAGATTTTGGTCACTGTAAAATGATCGCTAAAATCACGGAATAGCTTCTAAAATTTATATTTTACAGTGACCAAAATCGACACTTTTCCGTTGTTAGTGATCTGTTTTGAAATTTTTTTTACAGTGACTAAAATTGACACTTTTCGATTGTTTGATGATATTTTTCGTACTTGATATTGCAATACATATTCCAAAAAACTTTTTCCTAACCACCATCCGATTGAGCCTCAGTTTTTTGACTAGACGTAAATTGAAATAAATGTATAAAGTTTTGGATTTAGTCACTGAATTATTTTTAGTTCAAACTGCACTAATAAAATGTTTCAAGTTTGATTTTAAAATGTAAATAAGAAAGTTGTTTGGACGTCAGTTTGATTTGCATTGGGTTTTGTGTTTAAGAGGTAAAATGAGTTGAAAATACAAAACGAGTGGACGTTCAAACAAGGTCAATTGTCTAATTTGAATATTTTCGACGTAAATTGTATTATTCAAAGTGAAAGTTTAAACAGGATCAATATTTCATGATAGAATGATACTAAAATGCGTGAGTGGGATGAGTCGGCGGACAACATTGATTCTCAAGTCCATTTAACTGAGGGGCTCTTCCTTTCCTTTTTTTCTAGTGGACAAATTAGACAAACAGGATGATGCTACGCTATTGAGAAGCAAAGCCAAGGATTTCAACCTATTCAATAATTCAGTGCCACATGCCGAAGCATCACAGACCAAAACCAAACCCCACCCAAACACCATTTACTCAACGAAGATTCAGCGATCCTTTTGAAAATAACCTTTGTTTTTCCCCGTCTTTAGTGCTCTATTATTCCTCACGAGCCATGGACTTATGAACCCACCTTTTTCATCAAACCTTTTTTACAAAATCGTGGTCCCATAAATTATTTGATCATACATTTTAACTAACTACATCTTCTACTATACAACACGTACTGGTAATATGTTTTCTTGTTTGTTGATCATTGGGAAACTCATGGCCGTTTGTACTGAAATTTCCAGTTTTATTGATGAAACGAACGGGTCTCCTATTATTTTCTTTCTCAAAAATAACTTAACATCAAATGTATAGTTTGATTGTGGTATTAGTGGCAAAGAGTTAATAAACCTTAAAGTAGTCGAAAAACGCAACAAAATCCATCTCATCCCTCATGTAATGTAACACGAGTCTTTTTTATTTGCTATATACATACATGATCGAAAAAGATTGGTGTAGAGTGAAAAGTGGATGATACAAACATGAGCAAGCCTGGGCCCAAAAGGCCAACCTCTCTCAGCTCCGTACAAATTATCCAACTGGACTCATTCGGTTTTTTTTTGATGCTTTGACAAAAAGGAACCGTGATGTCCACTTATATAAAATTATGAAAAAATGTACATAACGAAATAATTCACGTTAAAAAAAAAAGGAAAAACGAAAAAAAAGCTACAAAATGAGGAAGGGAAAAGGAATTATGGGAGGGTTGAAAAAGAAAGAAAGAGAGAAGGAAAAGGACAAAAAGGGAATTGGAGGCCAACCAAAACCAATACTAAACAATGGGAAAAAGGCAATGAAAGCAAAAAAGAGAAGAGAAATTAGGAAAGTGGGGGATTCTAAAAAATGTGAGAGTTTAGGGAAAGAACATGCACACATATGGATACCAACGTCTCCCACTAAAAACACTCACCCACTAATAAATGGTAAATTCACATAAATGTGTATATATATAAATTATAAATATGCCCACAGAATTATGATCGTTAATCATTAACACTCACACATGCACACACAGTCACCATCCCACGCACACACACAGTCACACACTCACTCAATTAGTCAATTTCACTCTCACCATCTTTTATTTGTCAAATTGCAATTTGCGTTCGGATAAATCCTCAAAAGTGGTCAAATTTCATCCAACATGAAAGTGAAATATTAACTGTTCTTTCACAGTATAGGAGCAGGACGGAAGGAAAGGCGAGGTCTGTGGAGCCCCGAGAGAAGGGGCGGACCGGCGGTGGTTAATTTTACTT